GCTCGGTATGACACGAGCCGCCCGCGGAGTTTGTGGCTGAGGGCGCCACATGGACCGCGGCCTGACGTCTCGTACCGTGTTTCCCCGTAATAGTTTCGTAGCTGGAGGCGTGCGGTGGACACTTCTTTTATTTTAGAAAGCATGGTGTTTATGAGCATTGCCGCGCCCCGGAACCCGCTTTTATACGATGCAAAGATTCCCAAATTAATAGGATGGCTTACAAACGAATTTAAGACATTAGAATCGGCTCAAGGATAAAGATACCGTTGTGACTTAAGAAGGTACACGGACACTTCTATAATTTAATTCATAATAGATATGCACTACACAGATATATTGGAACAAAGAAAAAGGCGTTCTTATAATTTCTGCGACTAGTATGGTAGACAACCCAGATCTATGTTCCTGAATTGTCTATTAATATGGATTTGGAGCTCCTCAATCCTGGGTTTATGTCTCGGCAAACTGCCTATGCCTGAGGAAAGGTAGAGACTCTGAGGACGACATATTACGAAAATTTTCGATTTTCTTTCGCAAAAGTCGAAGTCGCTCCAAGCTATATTACGAAATCGTTCGTCGTTATTTGAAGGCAGCTCGGGGTCTATATCCTTGATGTTCTGGAATGATGATGCGTTCGCGTGGCTAAAAATACAGCAGTAACCTTGTCTTCTTTGCAGCCTCCCAGACCAGCTCTTGCACTCAGATAGAAGTGACCTACAGCGCTCTGAGCCAATCAGGAGACGGAAAACATATTTCCAAAATTTTTGACGGAGATACAACTCATGGCCGAGAAACGAGGGGGGATCATTTTATTATTTTTGTTCTTTCGTTTTCAATCTTTTTGCAAGTTTGAATCTGTATGATTTTTTATATCGACGATATTTTTCATATTTTTGTTATTTTTAGGCGTATTTATTGAATTCCGTGGTTTTTTTTGTGTGTCGACCATATTATTTTAATATTTTTGCTATTCTTAATTCTTTTCTGTCTTTTGCAAATTCGGTTTTGAGATTTTTTCTCGAGCATATTTTTTATTTTTTATCATTCTCAGTCATTTTCGTTCATCCATCCTTCTTTTCAATTTTATGGATTACTTTCAATTAGTAGTATTCCATATTCCATTCCATTTCTTTCAATTTTTGTTGTGCATATATTTGCTTTTCTTATTTGATTGTGATTTTGGATTGGATTTAGATCTGATTCGGAAGTCATATAGCTGTGATTCGATTACGATCCAAGCCTGAATAACCCAATTCTCAGAGGCAATGATCTGGCTTTGCTGTCGTATTCGGATCGACGATTTATTGGAGTTTACAACAAATAAATCGACGAATTCTCAAAATTAGATAGCGGTTTCTTGGAGCTTCTTGCGGCGATCTCAGAGGCTGTGCTTCGGCGGTAGGAATTACGATTCGATTGTGGTGAGCTACGATTCGATTGTGTTTCGCAATTTTCGGTTAGGATTCAGCTGTGTTTCGGATATGATGCGAAAGTGATCAAAGGCTGCGATCTCTAATTTGTTGGAATGAGATTATAATATTAAAATATTTTAAATAGACCGATGATATATCTGAAACATATGGCTTCGACGAATTCTCGGAGTGGCGATTTCAGAATTTGAAATAAACTAGATTTCTCAGAGTCTCGACTTGCGATTGGGCTGTCGTGTGCTGTCCTGGCTATGATTGGCTGCGAATCGATTGGATTTCATGGTCGTGATCGGCTTGATTCGGCTCAAAGTGGCATTGATTCGGCTGCGATCCGCGTCTGAAGCAAATCTCAAATTTTGAAGCAGCGATTTCTCAGAGTTTGTAAAACGCGAGCAGATCGACGATTTCTCAGAGGCTATGATTCGGCGGTAAGTGGTTGTGATTCGACTATGGTGAGTTGTGATTCGATTGTATTTGAAATTATTTCGGCTGCGATTCGGCTGTATTTCAGGGGTGATGTGGGACGACTAAAGATTACGATCTATAATTTGTTGGAATGAGGTTCTACAACTTTGAAATAAGCGAATCGACGATATGTCAGAGTCTGAAACCCATGGATTCGACGAATTCTCTGAGTCGCGAGCTTGAAGTAGGCCAGTGGACCGGAGATTTCTCAGAGTCTCAGCTTGTAATCCAGCTGTCGTGTGCTTCTCATGGCTATGATTGGCTGTGGTATGGCTATGTCGGCTGGGCTTCATGCGGAGGTAGTCGGCTATGATTCGATTTTAATATGACACGGATTTAGCTATGATCCGAACCTGATTCAAATGGACTGGCTATTTTCAGAGATTGGGAGTCGGGAGTCCTGAGGCTGTGCTTGGCCGGCAAAGAAATGATTATGATTCAGCTAGTCCGAGCTTGAAACAAATATGTCGGCGATTTCTCAGAGGTTGTAATCCGGTTCTGAGGCGGCTATGATTTGGGACTGTCGTGTGCCTGTCATATGGCTATAATTTAATTGTGATTCGGTTGCGATTCGGATGTATTTCGGAGCGAGGCTACGATGTGGTTGTGTTTCGGCTAAGATTCGATTGTAATATGGCTATGATTCGGATGCGATCCGAATAGAAAATAAGTAGATCGGCGAATTCTCAGAAATTGGGATTCGATTATCCTACGCCTTTATTGCGACGGCGATATAGCTGTAATTCCAGTTATAATTCGGGCTAAATTTCGATTGCGATTCGAGATTTTGCATAATTTAAGCAGATTCATAATATGATTAATATAGTATTACTAAGATAGATAAAATTAAAAATAAGATAACAATTAAGATTAAGATTTTCAAAATAACGATCCGAGACCCCGGCTCTCAGGACCAAGAATTAATTAGAAGCCAGATACGAAAATCTAAATAATTCTAAACCTAAATCAATTCGATCCTATAAAAATTCAAACAAAGAAAAAGCGATTTCAGATTCTAGATATCTCATTCAAATCTAAATCCATATCATCAAAATCCATGCAACGAATGAAGAATTAAAGAAACACCTATATTCCGATAATTTTCGTATTCCTCAATTCAAGAATATCGAAAATCCTTTAGATAGAGTCTAAGAAAGATTTAATACAAGCGTAATAAGAAAATATTTCAATTATATATATAATCATAGAGAATTATATCTTTCTATTCAGACTAATTATTATATAAACATTTAATCTTTTTCAATAAATCTATTTATTCTCTAATCCTATCAACTAAAATTAACGAAATATTATTTCGACAATAATTTCTTAAGAATTATTTTTAAAGAAGCGTGAAAACGACAACACCAAAAATCAATTTTCCCTTCTTATTATTCTATTCAAAAAAACACCAAAATTTCTTATAATTTACATTCATTATTTCTCTTGGCTTAAAACTTATCTATTTTTTACAATTACTATCTTGTAATTATATAACCTAGAATTATTGTAATTTTTCAATTTTATATAAGTAAATTTACGATCTATTAATTAAATAATAGATTAGATTCTATATTATATTTTTCTAAATATTAATCTTATATCTTCGATTTTAATTTTAAGACCTATTACTCGTATTTTTTAAATTATTAATTTAGTTTCTAAATAAAAATATCTATATCTTCGTATTTAAGCCTTAGACGTTAGAATTTGTGATCTCCATCAAAATTCCAGAATACAGATTTTAGCTTATCTCCTTTCTATTTTCAATCTTATATCCTCGATTCTAAGTTATCTATATTAAAATCTTCTAAGTTTGGGGCCTTCTAACCCTGTGGAGCCAGAAAGTCTAGCCTCTTCTAGCCCTTAAAAATTAGATCTTATAATCTTAGAGATCTTCTCGTTTTAAGCTCTTCTGACCTCCGAAATAATGGAGCCTGTAACAAAAATTCACTTCTTAAGTATGTGTTGGGGACGTGAAAGGAATTATGAACCGACCGTGCCCTTCTAAGTGTTCTGACACAGCCGGCATCGCTAGTACAGACACCTCACTAAAACCGAACGGTTTTTTGAAGGAAGAACGGCACTTCTTAAACCATTTCAAACGCGCAACGTAATTGTTTCTCGTCATGGTAATTGTGTTGACATCTAGTGGCTATCAGCGCCAAGCAATAATTTGTCTTAAGGAAAATCATAATTTGTTCCTGGTTGTCGTTCCTAAGAGCCGCCGCCATGTAACGGAAAGTGTGTAGAACTGAACTTCCCCCACATTCTACCGAACGCTTGGACTTTGGACACTCCCGGAAACAGACCTACCCTGCAATACAGTACAATACCTATCGGCTTCTGGGCATGTTGCACCTTGTACTTCGATATTGACGCACAGCAACCCATAGCACCCGTTCACAGCAGGTCTGGTGTGAGTGCGGCTGTGCCGATGCTACCAAAACCTGTTGCTTTATCCATGCAGTGTCAGAAAGCTTGCGCATCGTGTAGCTTCTCTTGAACATGAACAATGGCACCTCCACGGCCTCCGGCCAAAAGCATGCAAGGAGCTCATTCACCCTGCAACTGCACCGGCTTCGTGTACAATATGAGCTTGAGGGGTTTGAGACAGGAACCTTGCCCAGCCATAGCTGAGTTCATGGAGTAGCAGCATGACATGAGTGGCAGGTTCAGTGATGACTCTATCATGGATACTGCTTTCACTGGAATGGTGAACACGAGAATTGCAGACAGCAAAGTCTTGGAATGTTGAATGTTGAAAGAGAAGCATGCTGAGCCTTATGATCTCTATACACTTGGACCCTTGGTCACGGCATCCATGCAGATTGTATTCTCTCGCAGGTATGATGATGATTCTAGTGGTACGGTAGGTACCACTGAATGACAAAAATATGAAAATAAGAATAAACAAATTGGATACATCATCGTAGTGATCATACACTGTATTGCTGCCAGCGGCCAGCCACTGTATGGGCTTGATGCTTGCAGCCAAAATAAGGATTTTGCAGAATGCGTTCAGCGCCGTTCCATCCTCAACCTGCCTTCCAAAGAAGGAAAGGCTACAGTGTTCTCTGCAATCTGTTTCCACGCAAGGTGCCCTCACTCTTCGCTGGTGCGCAACGATTCCCGAACTGTGCTGGCCAAGGGATGCTCGTGCTGCTCGAATATGCACAAAGCTCGCTGCAGCATCTCCTTCTTCTGGCTGTGATTACCCAGGTCACCGTGAACACTTCCAAGATTCTTCAATGAAATGCCCACCTGTGGATGGTCCACGCCATAGTGTTGCTCCTCAATCCTCAAAGCACGCTCTAGTCTGTCCTTGGCGGCGCTGTAATCGCGCAAGGAGTCGTGAACAATTGCAAGATTGGTCAACATGTCGGCCAACTCTGCATGGTCCAAGCCATAGTGTTGTTCCCGGATCCTCAAAGCGCGCTCCAGTATGTCCTTGGCCCTGATGTGATCGTTCAACAATATGTGGGAAGTACCAAGATTCTCTAACGTACTGGCTAGCTGTGGATGGTCCCGGCCATAGTATTGTTCCTCAATCCTCAAAGCACGCTCCAGCAGCTCCTTCGCCCTGCTGTGATCTCCCAAGCGTCCGTGGGCATTTCCAAGATTTGTCAACGTAACGGCCAACTCTGGATGGTCCAAGCCATAGTGCTGTTCTTGAATCCTCAAAGCACGCTCCAGCGTTTCCTTGGACCTGCTGTGATCGCCCAATTCACTGTGGGCATGTCCAAGACTCGCCAACGTACTGGCCACCTCCGGATGGTCTCGGCCATAGTATTGTTCCTTAATCCTCAAAGCACGCTCCAGCATTTCCTTGGCCCTGCTGTGATCACCCTCTTCACCGAGAGCATTTCCAAGATTCGTCAACACACTGCCCACCTCTGAATGGTCCGAGCCATAATGCTGTTCAAAAATTCTCAAAGCACGCTCCAGGAACTCCTTCTGCTGGCTGTAATCACCCAAGTGTCCTCTGCTAGTTGCAAGACTCACCAACACAATGGCCACGTCTGGATGGTCCGAGCCATAGTGCTGAACCATAATCTTGAAAGCACGTTGCTTCATGTCCTCGGCCCTGCTGTGATCGCCCAATCTTTCGTGGGCATTTCCAAGATTCATCAATGTAATGGCCACCTCTGTGTGGTCCGAGCCGTAGTGCTGTTCCTTAATCCTCAATGCGCGCTCCAGCAGCTCCTTCGCCCTGCTGCGATCGCCCAAGTCAGCGTGGGCATTTCCAAGATTCGTCAATGTAACGGCCACCTCTGGATGGTCCGAGCCATAGTGCTTTTCTTGAATCTTCAAGGCCAGCTCCAGCAATTCCTTCTGCTGGATGTAATTTCCTAAGTACGAGTTGGCATTTCCAAGCTGATTCAACGTACTGGCAAGCTTCGGGTGCTCTGGACCAAGGTTTGCCGTGTCGCTTTCCAGAACCTTCTGGAACAACTCCTTGGCCCTCGCCGCACTTCCAATTCGATCGTAGACAAGAGCCAATGCAAAGGCGCTTTTGATCCTCTCATCGCTCTGCTCCTCGAAGTGACGCATGGAAAATGCATAGGCCACCTGCCGAAGAGGCAGCTCACACCAGGCCTGAAACTCCTGCTCATTGGCAAATTTTGCAAGCTTACTCATCTGCTCCAAGGTCTTGGCCTTCTCTTGCTTCAGGTCTTGCGACATCATAGCCTCCGAAAATCCCTTGGAGTTGAAAACTTCTTGGCAAAGTTCTGCATTTTGGGCCAGCTCTTCCCAGGGCACAATCTTGCACGGATCACCTGGAATCAAGACGTTCACCAATTCAGGGCGACGGATGTAACCAAACTCCCACCTACAAGCCTTTGACTTGAGGTATCCTTCTGTGATATTCAAGATCAATACTCCATGCCGCGTCTGCAGAGCTGCTTCCATGTACACCTTGAACCAGGCTGGGAACTCACCGTCTTTCCTCAATGAAGCTGTCTGAGAGCAAAGCACCCTATGCGCTATAGACAAGGATTTGTCGGTGCAAAAGGTCACGGAGCGCAGCTCTCCACGAAACAGGACCTTCTCGTTCTTCAAGATTCGAAGGAGTTCATCATTGCGCGTCCTGTCGCCCGTGGTGAAGGAGATCAAAAAGTCTGCATCCTGAGCTTTCTGCATAGCTTCCACTTCCCCACGACCTTTCCAGCCGATCTGTTTCCACTTTCGAGCCTTTCGAAGCTTTTCTTGCACTTCTGGTGTTTCCGAAGTCAAGCGGTCAGCCTCATCATAGTCCAAGGAAAAGTCATCGCGTCCAGCCAACTCTCGGACAATGCCACGATTGTTGTATGCAGCTGCGTAACTTGGGTCCAACTCGATGGCCCTGTCAAAATCTTCAATGGCGCCTTGTATTTGATCGTCAACTAGTCTTTGCCATCCACGTTCGTTAAAGCTCTTCGCATCCTCCACGGAAAGGCATACACGCAATACATGCAACCGATGAATCGATGAAGAAGACGAAAAGACTGAGAAAAAAAAAACAAAACATGGCAAGAGATGCTTCTGGTGTTTGCAAGGAGGCATTAGCCACCTAGTCAGAATAAGGAACGCCAAGGTGAGGGACAACCCAAGCTTGGCTCCTAAACAAAGCCGGGTGAATTTTCAGTGTGACAATTTAACACATTATAAATTCACCAGGCCCAATGACCAAGTTTGCATTCTGTAGGACTCCAGGCAGAAAAGGTTGTCTCCCTGAACACTTCAAAAGGCTGTCTATAGCAGTGTCTGCCTCTGCCACCAGCTTGTCTGCTCCTCGGAGTTCAAGATCCTCTCCCTGAATGCGGCAATAGTCACAAGACATCCGTGCACATATTAATCTGGATCCGTGTGCTCTGTCCCCTCTTCCTAATTTGTTTCAACAATCAAATTGTCCCAAAATCTCAGAAATTGCAGAGAGGAAACTTAACGCACAGCAGACTACCAAAACGGACTTGCCCGTCTTACCTTTCGACACAATGCTATTTTTTGTAAAAATCCGCCTCTTGAGAGACTGAAACCCAACAGTATGTGATGTTGGGAACTTTGGATTCGCACTGTCTTGCTCTTCGTTTCCTTCGTTTCCGTTTCATTTCCGCCTCATTTTCCGTTTTCGACCGAACGCAAGTTTTGGATTCACACTGTCCTGTCCAAAGGCTCCGCGATTGAAAAAAATCAATCGAACGCTTGAAATTTATGTTGTTTCAATCGACGCTTGAAACAGCCGATTTTGGAGTCGTTTTCAATCGAGACTGTTTGTTGAAACCCGCTCTTTGCCCCATTCCTCGATTGATTCTACGATTGATTCTTCGCTTGATTCCTCGACTGATTCTATGGAGGCTCTTCGCTTGATTCCTCGATTGATTTTGAATTCGATCGTTTCTCCGAGAGAGAGATAGACATACATCTTTATATATATATATATATATTTATTTATTTATATATCTATTTTTTGCTTATTTATTTACTCATTTATTTATTTAGTTAGATATTTAGTTGTTTATTTGTGGAAAGATGATAGATCGACATGTGTGTTGTTGAGTGTGTGGCATAGTTTGCCTAGACAAAAGAGAAATTGATGCGATGTCTGGACAGACGTGGCATGTGCTGTCTGGACAGACATGCAAGAGATGGATGTTATGTCTGGACAGACCGGTATGGATTGCTATGAGACCTGGGATTTTCATTTGCCCATGAAGCTCAAGACTTTTCAAAGTAGAGGGTGCTCGTAGAACAGAGCCTAGAGCCATGGCCCCGAAGGGTGGAGCAACAAGGGAGAAAGTCCCGGAGTCGTGCATGGAGCATCTGTATGATGTCCTTCACGAAGTGGCCCAGAACCAGGGAGGGTTCCACTTTCACGGGTATCATGCAACCCAGAAAGCCCAATGCCATCTTGGGAGGAGATCTTGTGCATAACTTCACCTACATTGCCAACCTGGCGAATGTGCAGCCGGCCTTGATGCTTCGCTATGCCGACCTGAAGCAGGTGTTCACCAAACTGGCGAGCCTGTTTCCTGCAGTCAGGCAGCAGTTTCCGGTCAGCCAGCAGGGATCGACAGCTGCCAAGCTCTCGGACAGCACAATGACCATGTTGCACACGAGACGCCTGAAGGATGCAGGGAAAATCAGGGAGGCTTGCAGTAGCCTTATCGAGTGGCACATCTCCAAGCTACAGGACCTTCGAGACATGGCAGTGACCGAGCGTGGGGAGGATGAAACTTACAAGTCGATTTAAGAAGTGTTTGCTTGTTCTCGGTATTGATTTCATGTATTTCTTCATACATGTTGTTTGCATGTACTTTGATGTACGAGGATGTTCCGACTGGCAAGAACTCCTGTCTCTCCAAGAAGAACGCCGGGACACCCCAGAAGGCCGAAAAGGAGAACACCTCGAAGAAAAGCTTTGAGACACCCGAGGAGGAGGTCCTCGTGAAGAAGAAGAAGGAGAAGGCTGCCCCGAGCACACCCATGAAGAAAAGGGCGACGACCGGAGACTGGGACTCTGCCAGTGTGTGGACACTTCACTTTGGCGGTGGAGATCCCTGCCACTCAGGACTCCACAGATGCTGAAGAGCTCTTGAAATCGAAAGCTCGTGAGCTGGCTTGCGATGATGCGCCCTCCCCGATTCCAGCGAGGAAGCAGACCATCAAGAAGCTTCTGGGGAAGACGAAGGCTGCAAAGAAGAAGGTCATGGAAACAAAAACCCACGAAGCCCATGAACACAGAGGCTGCGAAGCCTGTGACGAAGATGTCTGCAGGCGAAGCAGATCGCCCTGCTCCTGCCGAGTACCACCAGAATGTGAGGCTTCAGCTGATGCACTACAAGGCTACTGGCCCATGTGCAGTCAGAGTTGTTGGAGGCAGGCAGCTCTTCCAGATTAGCAGGTTCAATGCTGCCAAGAACCGGAAAGAGGCCCAGAAGCTCCTGGATATGCTGAAGAATGGAACATCTCTCTCCGAGGTACTGGAGCTGAAAAAGCTGGTTTGATTGCTTTCAGAGGTCTCGCACATTTAAAGCCATGGGCTGTTTCAGTTTTGTGACCGAGGGATTTGGGGAACAGGAAGCTTGCCACGCTGGCAATGCTACGGTCTGAAAAGAGAGGTTTTGGCGCAGTGCTGTAGCATTGTTGTTTGTTGGTTTTTTTGAATGTCTGGAAAGGCAGGTTTTAGTGCTGTGCTGTCGGGACAAACGCACACTTCAAGGGTCCGTGTCTGGACACGCACTTCAAGTTTCAGTTCCTGGACAGACACTTCAAGTTTCAGTTCCTGGACAAACACTTCAACGTTCAGTTCCTGGACAGACACTTCAAGTTTCAGCGCCTGGACAGACACTTCAAGTTTCAGTGTCTGGACAAACACTTGAAGGTTCAGTGCCTGGACAGACACTTCAGGCTTCAGTGTGGACAGAAAATTCAATCTGGATAGACATTTGAATTTCTGTGTCTGGAGAGGCACCTCAAGTTTCAGGTCTGGACAGACACTTTTTGTTTCAATGTCTGGATAGACACAAAGTGCATATTAAGGATGTCTGGACAGACATGAATGGAAGCACTCTGACATGGGCATGCCACTATGACGCGAATGATGTGATATCCTGGCTCGAGATCAGAAGCCGAGCCCAAGCTTGAAGGTAGTGCTGCCCCGCTGCAGCCATGGACCCCAACAGGAAGGGTGGCAAGAAGGGCGAAAAGAAGAGTGACCCGAAGGGTGCCGGTGGGAAGGCATTTGGGAGTAAGCTTGAAGTTTGCAGTGTCTGGACAGACACATTATAGCTGAGTGTCTGGATAGACCCCTGACAGGACCCTTATAAGGACCTCGGCAAGGGCAAAACGAAGCAGGATCTCCCTAAAATCATGGACAAGAGGCAGATTGTTTCAGTGTCGGGATAGATACAAAGTGCATCTTCGAATGTCTGGACAGACATGAATGGAAGCACACCCTGCAGCTGAGAAGAAGTGGCACCCTGGCCAGGCTGAAACGAGAGAAATGAAGCATGAGATTTTCGTGGAACACAGTCCTCTTTTCCTGCTGCTCATGTCAGATTTTGCCTTAGGCAAGCTTTCTGCGAGTCATTGTGATGGCATGGGAGAAATTGAAACCTGCATGCCTTAATATACTTGGTTATGTGGAGGGAATCATTTATGATTGTTTTGGGAGACTATTGAGGAAAAGGTCAAGTCCAAAGGCTGGCAGATTCAGCAGGAAGAGTGGGGCGAAATCTTCGGACCTGGCACAGCTCCAGGGCTTGGGTGGCCAAGGGTCTTCTCCGCAGAACTGCCATCGGGACCTGACGAGACTGCCACTGCTCAGGCAGACTTTGGCTCCCAAGCCGACCTTTGTCACCACCACTGTGCAAATGCAGTCAGACGCCCTGCCTTTGCTGTTGCCACACTCATGGGTGGGGTCTCTGACTGAGCGACTCGCCTTCAGAATTTATGTTTTGCTTGGTGAAATTCTTCGGTAGGATCTGCATTAGATGGCTGGAGAGCCAAGTCTGCAAAGGCATGTTTGTTTTGATTGGCTGGCAAGCCAAGATACACTAATGCATGGCTTGTTGGACAGTATCACAGCCTCTCCCGACGAGCTGGATGACTTCTGGCGAAAGCAGGACTTTGGCAATAACCCCCAGTTTTCGAAGGATCGAAAATTCTGGAGAAGCATCAGCTGGGGGAGTGAGAAGCCCATTCCTTTGCGTCGTCATGGTGATCATGACATCGGAGTTGCTTTTGGGGTGTCTGCCAAAGCAGTGCAAAGCAGAATCCTGGCCACCAGTGTGGCATGCCATCGCCGAAAGCTTGGCACGTTTGGCCCTGGGACAGACACCGGAGAAGAAGCCAATCAGAAGAGCCATCGTCGTGTCTATCTTTGGAGATCTTGAATGGTTCACGCAAGAGTTCGGGTGGCCAAGCTCGAATTCCAATTATCTGTGCCTGTACTGCGAAATGCAGGTCTTTGGCGACTAAGCCATCTCAGAACGAGCACCCTTTTTTCTCTGTGCCAGGAATCAACTGCTGGACTCTGAAGCTTAACCTTTTGCACCTCTGCGATTTGGGCACAGCTTCCCGCCATTCTGGCAATGTGGCGAATGACCTGGTTACAGAGCACTTGCCGGGCAAGTTCGCTGCATCCTTGATTGCCCTCAACGGTCTTATCTGCAGTTTGTATGAGGAGCTGGGCATGACGAGTGAGAAAAGGATCCCGAAGCTGGTGAAGTCTCATATTTCTTCCAAGGCCTCAAATCCGTGTTTCAGCCACATCAAGGGAAGAAGGATTTGCCACTTCGCAGATGTCGCAGTGAAGCTTTGTGGCCTTTACAACTCTGGTGAGAAGGACAAGCACCGAGAAGCAGCATGCAAGGCAATGAAGGTCATATATGACATGACAGACCGCCCCGAGTTTAGAAGAAGGAGGTGAAGATATTTCAGAC